TTATTTGTTGAATAAATGAATGCATGAACGCTCAAACATTAGATTTGCGAATTAATAAAATAAATATTGTTTTTTGCTTTACAAAATTGGTTTATTTCAATTATTTTAACAGCTTTTACAAATATGCAACCAATCAGCTATTTTGCTTACGCACAATTTTTTGTTTAGATGGCTTTTTATGTGTATTAAGAGTCAAGTCCCAATTGGACTAATATACCATAAAGCTGCCATGGGAACTATCGGTCGAATATTTAGTTCTTGTAAGAAGAACTTTTTGGTTCTTAAGAAATCTTAACTAAGCATTTATGCTCATTAAATGCAACCAAAATCTTCTCAGCATCAGACGGCAATCTCATAAAGCTCTATAGAAAGAAATATTTAAGGAATAAGTCGGCCGAAAACTGAATTCTTGTCGGGAGAACTTTTTGACTTCTTAAGAAATCTTAACTAATCATAGCATGCACATACATTGGACTTGCATGTCATAAAGCTTTACGGAAAGCATAATTCAAAGAATAAGTTTTTGAACATTTTCTCAATGTCATTCAATACTATGCCTCCAAGTCATTTATCTAAGAGCATATTTAATCTTCGGCGTGAATATAGCCACACCATCTGGTTTTGCAGATGCCTTTGCACATATTTGCTTAGAAAAAAAAAAAAACAGCACGTATTATGGTTAGGCAACATGCAAAGGGTTGTATTAACGCTGGCGCAACCTAGTTTAGCCCGTTAGCTGCCAGAATGAAGTTGCAAAATGGACCAAGACAAAAGACAACCGAAAATGGCAAAAGTGATTAAATTAGCGGGCAACCAGAACGCAACTGTTGTCGCTCATACGCCCAGTGGGACAGCAGCAGACAGTACAAAAAAGAGCAGAGGACTTGACAGGACACTCTAACCACTGCACGGGCAACAGCCGCAGCATGAAATCTGCCAAAAAAAAAATGTTAATTAAAAAAACCAAATTATGTTTATGCATATTTCAAGCGCTTAATGAATTTACAAAACTTGTCCTCCTGTTGGTTTTTGGCTCACGTTGACGAGCTGTGCCTTTACAGGATGCACAGACGAGCAGACGTGGTCTGTAAATGTGCTGGTGTTGTGCTGGCGGGTGGTTGGGGTGGTCTAGGAATGGAGGCAGCTGTTCACTCAGTTGTTCGCTAAGTTGCTGCGCCTGTTGCTTGCACAAGCTTGCCGCCTGCGTCTTGCATGTGTTGCCACATTTCTCGTTTTTCGGGGGACAGGCGCTGCATAAATTTAGTCCACTTATGAAGCACTCAGAAGGAACTCTGCTTGTGCAATGCACTCAAAGCATATAACCCAGTTTGGGGTCATAATTGCAATCTTCCATAAAGATAACACATGATTTACAGAGCCACAGCGCGTATATGCACATCGAGTCGAAGCGAAATTTCGCTAAGTGTAGCTAAAGAAAATAATTATATGTTGCTAACCTAACTTATCTTCAACACACTATTTTGTGGAAATGTAAATTACGTATACGTTTAACGTTTTTTCAGCGAAGAGCATCAAATGCTCTCGTCAAAGGTGAGTTATAACGAATTTTAGGGGGAGAGTGCGATATGGCATTTCAGTAGAAATTGATTTTTTTTCAAGAAGCACCTTCTTGCCTACAAGATATTTCAGATGAAAAACATAAGGAAGTGCTTTCAACTGGGAGTGACTACACGTTATGGGAAATACATTCTAGAATACCTTCCACGTTTAAAATCCGATCATGCAAAAACTTTTAGCGCCTAAATATGGCAGCTGAAAGTGTGTACATACTGAGGCACAAGCCTAAAGTTAACAAGTAAGAGGTTCTAGTCGAGAGCTCCCGACTAGGGGATACCCTGAACCCTATTCTTCCAACATCAAATGTATATATATATTCTATATTAGAAGCTATATGTCAAGTTTGATGACTCTAGCTCTTATTATTTGCCAAAATTGCCCAAAAAACAGGATATCGATATCGATTTTTATCGATTGCTTGGAAACGGTGTAAGTTATCGATTATCGGAAACAAACTCGATCTGTGCAGGCACTAGGAGCATCTACATCTAAAATTTCATGTTTTCAAATGTTTTCTGTGATTATTTGATTGCAAGTATTTTATAGCGATAGTAATTGCTTGCGTTTTCTATTAGTAATGTCGCTAGCTCTTAAAATATATCACGGTAATATATATTTCGATTTTCCAGTCTCTAGCTTCTATAGTTTCCAAGATCAACGTGGTCATACACACGAACAGGGCTTGATCGACTCTAACACGTCGTCCTGATCAAGAACAGATGCATAAGCTCTATGGGATCGGAATTCCTATTGCCGGGTAAGCACGTAGGTGCAAGGAATACAAATACTGCAAAAACACTTGAATTGCATGAAAGCGAATTACAAACACAGATTGCCTACGAAATCCGTCACATTAAAGCCTAATACCAAATAATATCAGGTTGCGCTCAGTTCTAAAAAAAAAACAGCTCTTAATAGAGCTATAAACAAGTGCGAGTCATTCGGGAATAGAATTGCCGCATTTTCAATGCATTCATTTAAATAATGAAAATGAAATAAATTTTAGCATAAATATGTATTCATTCAATATGCAATAATGAATTGAATTACAAATTGAATTCGTTTTTTATTTTTTTGAAATTCACAAAATTGATTTCACTCATTTGAATAAAGAACTGAATTCAATTCAAAGCTGAAAGCATTTTTTATGCTCGACTCACAAAGGAAACATGTGTATATTTATTTGCGCACTATAGAACTATATATACATACATACATATATATAAATGAGGAACTCTACTCATGAGATGGAGCCAAAAATATTGCGTCCACGCCCACAATCGCCCCAGAAGTTGCGCAATTCAATATTCCAAAAACTTAGTGCCAGCAAGAGGACTCTACTTTGAACAGAGTATTGCGCAGCCGTGTACACCCTACTGCAACGCTTTTAGTTTTTTGCTTTGTTGCTTTGTTTAAAATTTTTCGTTTGAATAGACAATTAATTAGGTTAAAATTCAATTGCATTTGTTAAGAAAATAAGCTAGTCGATTGGCAAATATTAAGTTTACACTGAAACAGAATTTTTTTCTTTGCATTGACCTTAAACGGAACCTTAAGGCGTATTAGCTGACTACCTGAACCGGAATCATATATTTCCAAAAGCCGTTTCGATTTAAAGCAATATTATGTTCCACGGAAAATTGTTAAAATATGTGAGAAGCAAGGTTCAAGCCAAAACCTGGTTTCAAAGAAGTAAAAAACTATATTCACGAGCCATGGAACAATTTAGCTGTGCCTGCACTCTTGTTGCACAATATTCGACTGCAGAATGATAAATGTTATTTATTCCAAAAAATATATATCCCAAAATAAAAGCAATAATTAAAATGCAATTTGCATATTTGTTTTTGCAGCTTTAGTTTTTGCCACACTCCCAGTTTAAGATGCGTTTGGCTCAGCTTTAACTATGTCTGCGATGCCGCATAAAAAAATGCATACAATTGCAGTTCCTTAGCCCATTTGGCAAAAAATCAAAAGGGCAATGAAACTTTGCTGGTCGCCTCAGTCAAGAGCGTTGAGGCCATAAAAAAGCTGAAGTGTGGCGCCGAAAAGCGGGCAACACGGCGTACGCTTGCGGCAGCGGCAACGGCAGCGCCACAGTTGAGGGCAAGTGCTATAAATCTAACGATAATTTGATGAGAGACGTTTAACGATGCTTTTGCGACAATTTGCACAAAAGAACCAACCGAGACCTGCCCATGCTACCCACACACCCGACACACTTACAACTAGAGGTCAATGATCTCATCTTGGGCCGAGCAGCATTTCGTTTTAATTTAAGCCCGCCCGGGGCTCAAGCAGGTCTTAAGCCAATTAAATTAAACAAATGCCACAAAACTGTTGCATAGCTGGGCTCAGTGGGGCATGTTGGTTGCGTTTGTGTGTGTGTGTGTGTGTGTGTCTGTGTGGTGCCCTGAATACGGAATCCGGAACTCGGAATCCGCTTCGCTGTTGTAAGCCATTTGCAAAGTTTACGAGTATTTTATTTTTTACACAGAATTCTACAAATTCCATCAAGGGCCGTTCGCCAGGTGGCGCCAGTAGCTCACTCAGAGTCTTTACTTTTGCATAAATTTCATGATGATTGTGTGCGGCCGCTTGTCGCATGCCCCACACCTTCATGTGCCTCACACGGCTGATTTGGCAAACATTATGCAACTGCAACAATTGCTGGCAAACGAAGCCAATCAGTCGCCAGCGATAACGTTGACTGGCGGGTGGTGAGTTTTGGGTGGTGCTGGAAATTACAGCTCACCAAAAATAAAATGCATTGAGCCACCGCTGACAAGCTCCACCCGACCAGCAGCTGCTGACGAGACACAAAATCATCTGCCATAAATATTAGATTAGAAAAGTGTGTGTAAAATATGCTGACAGTTTGACGATGGGCCGGGTTTTTGTAAGGCTTGTGCCCTTATCAGCATATTGATCAGTGCGGCAGAGTTGCATTCACCGAGCTCCATGTGGCACTCAACAGAAAGCAGGCGCAAATTAAGCGAGCAAACAAATGGGCCAAGTTTGTCCATAAAAAAAATTGGAAGAAGAAGATGAAAGAAAGAAACAGGCGAAAGACACAAAAAACACGCACGGGGGCAACATAAAGTACCATGTGTACGAGTATGAACCCGAAATTAAATGAAAGATTCATGTTAATGGCATTGAAGTGTTTATGCGGCGTATACTTGATTTTTATATCTGTCGACCGTTGTGTTAAACTGTCTGACAAAAGTGCGTGCAACGAGCCCACAGATAAATAATAAATGAGGCCAGCCTGATGACAGACCTATACATGTCAAAGGATATTGAGACGTTGTCAATGGGATATTTGATTGAGGCTGGCTAAGCCACAAGAGATATGCAAGTTAATCGCAGGACAACATCGTTACAACAAGAATGCCAAGAATTGATAGCTAAATACTCACGCCAAATGCTTGGCCAATCTCTCAGCCAGTCCAGAATGTAATCGGTCCGGTATCAAGTGCCAAGAAACCAACTGGTGAGCACTGGTGACAAGGATGCCTCGGCAACGCCTTAGTTGATGAATCCGCTTTCAAATTGTCAACTGAAAATGTACGTCGAGAGCGTTGACTGCGTCGGACTGCTCGCAAAGGACCGTCTGGGACAACCTGCCGCTGGGCGAGAGAAAAGCGAACTGAATCAAGTCCGGCGACTGATGCTGCACCAAATACGAAGCCGACTGCCAACTGCCAACTGCCAACAGCCAACTGCCGCCTGCCGCACGATGCCGAACCGAAACGAATGTCGGCCGACCGACCGACCGACTTACTGCCCCTTACTGCTTCCCATTACTGCCGCTTAACTTTTGCCCACAGGCATTCCACATAATAGTAAATTGTAGACTGAGATGAATATCAAATAAAAAAAATATAAAAAAAAAAAAAAACCAAAAATACTTTATTATTTTGTAGAAGCCAAGTTTAGGATTATTATCACTACAGCATTAGCCTGCCAATCGCAGTAATTATCAAACTTGGGCGCCTGTCATCGCTGCGCTCGGCTCACAGATAAAGTGAAAGTAGTAATAATATAACACTTAACAGTAACAGGCATACTTACTGTCACACCAACATTAACAGCAACAGTAAAAGTAACAGTAGCAATTACAGATCACAGTAACTGCCAAAGTAGTATTTAAGTTTATGTGCCTATTACCGCCTGCTTATTTGTTAGTCTCGGCCATGCTGGCAACTCAATCACTTTTATTGACAGTCGCATTAGTAATATCTATGTAATAATATTGAAAGCAACAGTAACAATTGCAGTTGTAGTTACAACAAACGTTACTTTAACAGTAGCAGTAACAATCACAGTAATATCAAAGTAATATTAACAGCAACATTAACAGTTGCAGTAACAAGCACAGTGACAGTTGCGGTCATAGACAGAGAAACTTTAACAGAGGCAGCAACAGATGAAGTCAGATCTGTCAAAGTAACAGATCACTGTAATGTCATGGTTATATTAACAGCAATATTAACAGTTGCAGTAACACGCACAGTAATTATATTAACAGAACCAGTTTCTGTGACAATAACAGTTACAGTTAAATGGAAATTTATGTGCCAATTTCGCCTGTTTGCTTCAATAGCTGGCCTACATCTGAATATTTCGAAATGCTTTCCAACTGCACTGCGACGTAATGAGCAAATGTACCTCGTGTGTTTGTGTGTCACAGCCGAGTCAAAGTAAGTGCCAGTTGGGCTTAACTCAATTTGCACCTGTCATAAGGGAGGGCGGGGGTAGGCGTCATTTTAGTTGGGTGCATCTCGAGTGCAGCGCGGTGCATGCAACAGGGTGCATAAATAAATACTGACATGTTTACACTGACTGGCTTTTGTTGTTTTTTTTTATACCCTGAACCAATTAAAAATGGGTATAAGGGTATATTGTATTTGTGCAAAATGCAAATGTATGTAACAGGCAGAAGTAAGCATCTCCGACCCCATAAAGTATATATATTCTTGATCAGCATCAATAGCCGAGTCGATCTAGCCATGTCCGTCTGTCTGTCCGTCCGTCCGTCCGTCCGTATGTATGAACGCAAGGATCTCAGAACCTATAAGAGCTAGAGACTTGAAATTTTAGATGTAGATGCTCCTAGTTGCCGCGCAGATCGAGTTTGTTTTCGATAATCGATAACTTACTCCGTTTCCAAGCAATCGATAAAAAAACGATATCGATATCCTGTTTTTTGGGCAATTTTGGTAAATAATAAGAGATAGAGTTACCAAACTTGACAATATAGCTTCTAAAATAGAATATATATATGCATTTAATGTTGGAAGACGAGGGTTCAGGGTATCCCCTAGTCGGGAACTCCCGACTAAAACCTCTTACTTGTTTTTTGCTGTCAAAAGGTGTTACCAACTTTGTGCTTCAAACGGGGCGTAGAACTGTGAACTTGCCATTCCGAATGGCTTGTTCGTGCCTCTACTCAGCCCCGTACCATGGAATATGCATTATTGCATAACTTCGGTGCTTATTGTCCGATCGTTATGAAATTTTCAGAAGGTAAATATACGATTCAAAGTGTGTAAGTATAAAACCATAAAACTCTAGCTGAGTGAGAGCCAGAGAGAGAAACAATTTTTTTAGACTCTCAGCACCAAAAAAGTAATATACTCTTAGTCTACGAGACATCGAAATTAGAGTTCCTAGCTCTCATAGCTGCTTAGGGGAAATTGCGCCAGCAAAACAAGTAGGATGTTCTAGTTGAGAGCTACCGACTAGGGAATACCCTGAACCCTCTTATTTCAACACCAAATGCAGCCCGCGCTACGCGCTCTTTTGCTTTAATAGTAATAAAGATAAATTAAAAAAAAGTTCCCTTGGCAGGGTTCGAACTGACCGCAATATTTGTTGCCGCCTCCATTCAACAGCCACACCAGACAAAAAAAGAAAAAAAAAGATTTTCACGCTTATAATTTCCAAGATCGACGCAATCATATAGATGGATAGACATATCATTTAAAAAAAAAAAAAACAATATTCAGCACAATTAATTTAAGTAAGAAACTTATTCTAGTCCAAAGAATACAAGAGTTTTCTGAGAAACAATAAAGGAACAATTTCGGGCAGAGTTCGTATTTGTTAGCCTTAAGAGTTAGCGGTACACAACACTGAGTCGTGTATTTCTTTACGGTTTGAGAGTGACTGTATGCCGCCTAATTGACATGCTGTGCAGCCAGTTTCCAGTGTTGCCTGACCCCACCGTTTCCTCATATGTAAGTGTGTACCTATGTATGTGTGATTGTATTTATTTATAGCTTTTGGCCACACGTTGCGCTATTGCCAAAACTCAGACCACAAAAAAAAAAAAAAAACTTTAATTGTCGCTCAAGTGGCGTACCCCGTTGGCCCCCCTTATGCCGGCACCACCACCTGCTGGAACAGTAGCAACAGTTTCGCTACCTTTTTGTGACTTTCTTTCCGCAATAAACGTAAAAAGTGACACCCACAGCTCGTTGGCATACAAATGCGAACAATTCGAGCGCTCATCAGCGTTTGCCAACATCTCTGTCTCCTTCTCCCGCCCCCTCCGTCTTTAGACCATTCAAGCCCCATGTCTGGCCAAGTCGAGCGTCTGGTCAACAAAATTGAAATACCAATTCAAATTCGCGTTGCGCTTATGCAAAGAAGACAAAAGAAATGCACAAATTATGTGAAAAAAAAAACCAACAACAGCCAAGACAAACGAGAGAAAAAAATGATATAAAAATAAAAACAATTAAACAAATTACATTTCGAGTAAATATCTGCAATAATTGTTGTAAAACCGCCGTGGCTGGCCATGCATTTGGGCCAAGTCTAGCCCGAACGAAGCGGTTAAAACAAAGCACAAAACAAAAACCCAAATAAAATAATAATTAAATAATTTGGTCTGCCCCGCAGCAGCAACAACTTAAAAGTTATATAATATTCCACGATTATGACTGTGGTAATTATTTGTTATTGTTTTTTTCGCGTCACGATTGCCAGCTGAGCTGCTTCTCTCTACCATTGAAAATGGGTACAAAAAATGAGAAAGGGTATTATTTTTTTCTACGTTTTTTGGTGGTTTCTAATAGTTTTTCGCTGCGTGAACATTGCATCGTTGGTTGGAACCGTGGCCAATAGCGTTAACTTCTGTGAATATCCGACAGCTCTATCTGCGTCGGTGTGAGAAGAAACCAGACGCTGACCACGACGCAATCATTTCCAGCTGGGCTAGGTTAGTTAACCCGCAAGTCGCTACAACGATTAGTGGTCATTGTTTTTTCGACCCATCCTTCTTCCGTTCTTCCCTGAACCCAAATGATTGAGAAAGTAACATTTAGTTTCAGCCCTAGGCATGATTGATACCTGATATGATCTGACAAATACAACAGATATAGCTTCTAAGCAAACGAAGTATAGGCCACTATAAATACATTGCACCGCTGATCCGACCTTCCGTTCTCCTTAAATACAGCCGATTGAAAGAGGAGCACTTAGTTGCATCGCGGGGCAAAGCTTAACTCTAAAATAGCTGACGAAAATAGTTCTTTCTTTAACCCTAACGATTGAGAGACGAGCACTTAGTTCCTTCCCGATACAAAACTGAAATCTGAATGAACTTGGGGGACGCGCTCAGAAAAGTTGATACATCTTCCAACCAAACGAAATTTTGACCATTATTGGTCCATTATAATGCCAACCGATCCACCTACCTCCTTGAAACCATATGATTAAGAAAGGCGCATCCAGTTCTCACCTGGGTCGAATTACATCTGAAATGAACTTGGAGGTCCTTACCTTAGGAGACCTTAGAGATTCAACAGAAATAGATTTTAAGCAAAGAAATTTAGATCACTATTGATCCATTGTAATGCCATCCGATCTATCTCCCATTCATCCCTGAAGAAAAATAAGTCGAACAGTGTTTATAATATTCATCGCAAAATGATATATCGATTTTTTGTTCTGATATGTATTATGTATATAGACTAAAGTTCTCATCGCAATGCTAGGCAACAGTTTGAAAGCAACTGGAGAGCAGATCCGTGCACTGCTTGGCACCAGGCTGGCTTAACATGAAATTTTGGACAGATTCGAAATTCGTATTTGAAATTCGTTTGTCAATTCGATTGATTAAAAATTACATCAAGTTATTGCCAAAATTTTACATATTACAAATTCAGCGCAAGCATTGAGCTGTCGTACAAAATTTCAATATCCAACACATTCATATCCAAATATGTCGCTGCTTAGTGAGATAAAAGCTGGCACAGCCATTACGGCTGGTACACGGGCGGGCACCCTGCATCCAGATCTGAAACCGTGGCAGCGCATCGATTTGCCGCTTTGCACACAGTCGAACTTGTTTAAGGACTGGGGCTGTCGGCTGCGCAACAAGAAGGCCCTGGAATATTTTACACGCGCATTGTCCGTCTGCAAAAGTCAGGGGAATAACACCTGCTGTTTTGACCAACCGACGACTCCGGCCGGGCAAAGGTGCAAAGCAATTGAGGGACAGTTTTGCAGCTTAGCCTCCGATGCGCTGGATAAGCGTAGCCTTTGTCGGCGGTCAATTGCCCAGCCGGAACTGGCGTGGGAGGATGCGCAAAAGGCGCACGAGTTGTTGGAGCTACAAGGACTCTCGAACATTGGCTATTTAATGAACAAATGCGATGCACTTTTCGAGTGCAATCGCTTTGAAGACAATCTAGTCCAACTGAACATTGAGGCTCGTAAGTATCAAGGACAATCTATCAAGGATCGCTTTCAGTTGCGTGCAAATCACGTAAGTTTTTGGGTGTTGACTCACGGACCCCGTCCTAACAAACCTTTTGGCGTCTTTATACGCTAGACAATTGGCGTGCTCGAGGATACCCTTGGCGATAGCCTCCACCCCTTTCTGCTCGACAATTGGCCGTTGATAACGGAGGTGGCACGCGCTCGCCGGACATCCGTTGCGTTTATGCCACGCCCCCTCTGGCAGCAGCTAAGCGAGAAATTTGACTGCGACGTGGAGAGCGTTAACGACATACAAAAGCCCCTGCTCTCACCGCTGGAGCGTGCACGTCGGCAGGTCTGCAAGAGAGTCTACAACAATCAGTATCTGCACAAGAGCGCCGTCGATGTGGTCATGCTGGGTCAACTGCAAAACGACAAGAACTTCCTCAATCCACTGTCGCACTATTCCACGCCCTACATGTCCGAGCTGGCCTCTGAGCAGTATGCAATTGTCAAAAAGTTCATGGTAGTCCTGGTTTCTTGCTATACCCTTTCACGAAATATGTAACGCATAGACGCAGACAGATTTGGCATTTACGAGCCTTTCTATTCATCTGACACATCCGCAAAAGCACATCAAATTTGAATACAATATTATGTAGCATTTATGGGTATTTAAGCTTCGGTGTGCCATAGATAATCGTTCTTTCTTATATTCCCATTCACCTTTGATTACGAATTATGCCACCTATTTACAGAAATTGATGCATGCCCGCAACCCACTGTACCACTGCAGGCAGGTGAAATGTCGTGTTAGCAAAATCTGTGAGAAGAACCGCGAGAATTATCTGTACCGTGTGGAGCATCAGACTCGTCGCGACTGCTTCCGTATGCTGCGCGAGGTGCACCGCCGGCGCCAGGAACAGAACATCGAGCGTCTTACCGACTATGTTGAGCACATCATGTCCAGCAGCATTGAGCTGAAGACACAACGAACGCTGCCCTGGAAGTGGGAGTTCGTGACCGAGGTGTACAACATATTGGCACTGGCCCATATCGATCGGTGTGCGGTGCCGAAGAATATTGACTTTCTGGATCTTAAAAATCACTCGATGCTCTATTTGCTGCCAACGGATCGCGTCAAGGAGCAGACTATCACATTTGGAGGGCCCAATGTATACAGTGAAATTGACAAGGATGATGAGCGACTTAGTCGTGTTACGTAAGTGGTTGGGGGAATTTATATGTTATATATATATAGATACATATCGTATTTATCAAGGCTGCAAACCCATTCAAAAATAGTTGTCGGTGGTAGGGTTCAACGTTAAGCTATACTCTGCATTTGCATTCGGCTTGATTTTCCACATTGATGAACTCGGTTTTAAGTTCAAGTAAATAAGATCTATATTCTATATTCAAAATTAAAGAACAAAAACGGCGCATGTCCATCGCTAACTCTGACCATAACTACTAAGTACTAATTGGTATTCGAAACTCCAATCTGACCCACTTTAATTGCAGGAAGAAACTGAATCGACTGAAGGATCGCCTAATCCACTCTCGCTATGCGATCGAACGGACCTATCTGTTCTTCGAGATAGCGCGCTGTCACTTTAAAGAGTCGCGCTTCGACAAGACCCTGATCATGGCGCATAAAGCGTCGCACGGTAAATATATATAAACATATAATTTCCTATAAAAATAAGTTAATTAAGTAGGCCAACTTTTAGAGGCACGCATCTGCAACAGCATTGTTTGGCGCTTCAATATCACCTTTCTGATTTGTCAGGTGCATGCGATATTCAATCGTTTCGAGCGTCTCAGCGAATCGCTGGGCAAAGCCAAGCAATTGGCCGCCAGGCTAAAGTCAACCAAGCTGCAGGCCTATCTGGCGCTATGCAATGCGGTCAACGATTATGAGCTGGATTATCAGCGTAAGAAGCAATCGGAACACAATTTACCAAAAAGCCGCAGGCGCAAGGGACGCCCCTCGCTGGCATCCTTTGACTCGGCTGACAACAATTTATAGCACTTGGGTCAATGAGTGGGCGTGACGGGGTGCAACAACAACAGCAACAGCAACAACAGCAGCAGCGACAGCAACTGTTGCTGCTGTTCTTGTTGCTGCTGCTGTTCCTGTTGCTGCCGCTTGATGCGCTCCAAATTGTCTGGCAGATTTTAGATTTCTTTAATCTCTTATACGTTTTTCTATTTGATTTATTTTTTTAATTTTCTTTCGCTTAATCTTTTATTTGTTGACTTTTTTTCTACGTTAGCAATAAATATGTATTAATTAACAAGCATTTAGCATAAACAATTCATTAACAATTATAATAAATTAACAATCAGCTGTTACTGCTGAAACCGAAGCTGCTGCAACAATTATATGCCGCTGCGCTGTCGCAGCAGCAGCCGTCGCAGTCGTCGCTGCTGCAGTTGCAGTTGCAACTGCTTAACCCCAGTTCCATTAGCATTGCCATCAACAGCTTCACGGCTTGGCTCATTGTTGTTGCTGCTGTCGTTAGGCCTGACAGCGCTTTCATTGTCATTAGCAGCTGACGCCTCCTGGGCTAGCGCCAGCTTGTCATCGTTTTTAGCATCATCACCGTCATCACCATCATCGCCATCATCGGAATCATCATCATCACCGTCATCAGCATCCTCATCATCATAATCATCAGCCTCTGCTGGCGTCTCCTCAGCTTGCTGCACCTCCTCCGTTTGGGCCATTGCTTCGGTTTTGTTCACACTAGCCGCTACCTGCTGCCCCTCGGACAATGCCTCTGCCGCTTCAGCTGGCTTTTGCTGTGCGTCAGGCTCAGTGTCATCTTCCTCTGCTTCTTCCTCATCATCCACATTCACTTCATTGTCACTGTCATCTGCCATTGCTGCAACTGCTGCTGCTGCTGATGTTCCAGCCTCCTCCTTTGCCTCCTCGGATATTGTGGGCTGCTGCTCAACGCTGGCCTCCACTTCATCCTCTGCTAGCTGCGCTGGTTTCAACGTTGTCGTTGTCGTTGTTGTTGCTGCTGATGCTGCTGTTGCTGCTGCTGCTGGCGCCTTGTTGCCTGTTATTGAATTGGTAATTGTTTCAATTACTTCATTTTGCTTTAGGTCGCTCTCGCCAGCACTGTCAGCGGCAAGCTGTGGCGCCTCCTCCTGTTGCGCCTGCGCCTGCACAACACCGGCATCACCTTCACCTTCCACATCAGCGTCATCGTCACTGTGATTGTCACTGGCGGACACAGCCAGCTCTTGATCCCCAGCCATAAGCATTTCACTTTCAATTGGCAATGGCTCGGGCTCTGACTCGAATTCGGCCTCTGTTTGGGTCTCCATCTCAGGCTGTTCAGTCTGCTGATCCACGTCCTCCGGCAGCTCGGCATAGTCATACTCGAGCGAATCCTTGTCATTCTCATCGGCTTTCGCATCGCCGGGCGGCAGGACTGGCTTGCCGTTCTTGTCCACATACTGAACGCCATCGAGACCCATGCGCATGCACTGGAAATGCATCTCGAACAGATCTGTGGTGGCCAGTCGGACCACAAAGTCCATGCACATGTTCAAATTGTTGCCCACCATCGCCACGTCGGTCAGCTGGACGCACATGGCCATTGGCACGCCCATCATGACGGGTATGCAGAAGGGCGATGGATTTCGCAGAGAGATGCCATATTTGGACGAGGGACGCTCGTTTAGATACACTTCCAGCTGTGCCTCCTCCAAATGTGGCACAAATGTTATATTGGCGCAAACTGCAAACGCACAGACACATGGCAATTAGTTAGAAAGAAAGTAACAACAGTTAGATCTACAGAAGAGTGTGTGTGTGTGTGCGAGAGTGTTGCTCGCAGCGCAATGAAAGTTGCGGGTGGAAGTTGCAATTCCAATTGGATGCCAAGCGAACACAGCTCCGAGCGGCAACATGCAAAAAAAAAACTACGCCAACGATTTGTGGCATTTTGATTGGCAAATGCGAGCATGTCATGTGAGCAGCAACAATTTGTTGTTGTTGTTGTTGTTGTTTTTTTGTTACTTTTGTCTGGCTGTCAATGTGTCGGCCATGCCACAGCTGCAACAAAGTTAAACGCTTTACACACTAGAGATGAAAACGGGTCGAGTGCCGCAAAAGGAAAAATTTTAGGAGGAATGAGTGGGATTTTTGCATGTTCCCGAAATGCCTGTGGGTGCAGAAATATATCAGCCAACTGGACACGTGGAGCAACACTCTATCTGTTATCTCTGAAGCAGCAGCAGCCCAGGCGCCTGGTTACCTACCCTTCTGATCGAACTTGTATTGATCTACTTTGAGGCCGGCACAGCAGCCGCATATCGCGGCGCGGCACTCGCACGGCTGCCCGAATGTCGACCAAATGGAGCCTTTCTCCGAATACTTAACGCTGGCCAAGTTGCGGCCACGCGACACGCTCACCGTTGGCGGCAAATACGGCGTGTGCGTGCCCAGCTCGTAAAAGATGAGTCCATTGCTGTAGCTGCGTGCCACAATTAGCGGCAGCAACGAGACGGCGCAGGCGCAAACGCACGCAAGCAGCGCAGTCGAGGACAACATTTCAATCACACTTTGCAAGGCACTGACAATATCCTTAAAGCAATTGCACAATTAACACAGCAACAAAAATAAATCACAGAAAATTGGTTTTATTTTTTTTACACTCAAAAAAAAAATAAAGGAGAAGCACGCGCGTTGTTGGCGACGTTCGATCAGCGTCCGCGTTTTGTTGCCAATTGCAGTAGCTCAACCGCTCGCGAGCGACGGGAATTAAATATTAAAACGCTGAACGCGTCGAGCGTTTGCTTAAAAATGAAATGGAAACCGCCAGCCGAAACAGCTGGCAGCGACGCCGGCCGAGGCAGCGACAACAGCAACAGCAACGGCAGCTGCTACTGTAGCTTTTTGCAATATTTTTTTGCCCCGAGTAAACTGTTGTATACGCTCACAGAAGCAATTATTTATATAATTATTAATGTTATTTATGTACTAGACGAAATAACCCGGCATTGCCCGTGTCTAAACATTGCTGTTAAAAGGGCAAATGTTCAGTAGCATATTTTTGCAGCTCACTTTAATTTCGGACCGACGCAAATAGCTATAAAATGATCAACTTTGCTTTCGAGTTGAACCGGCGACTTTTCGCTTGTTGGTCCGACGTTCAGACATCTAAGGCGTACAGGCTCATGACGTCACTTATATAAGAGGCTGCGTTTTTGTGTCTGTTTTTTCTACAAATTTCGAACAACGTTTTCCTTCTGCTTGGACAGGCTTGTGCTGAACCAAGGAAACTTTCTGTACAAATTACAACCATAAAGTTTGCAGTCAGTCAGTCAAGCAGAAGTAACTCTTTTGTGTATATAAATGTATGTAACATATATTCCAATTTATATATATAAAAAACATATATTTGTCTTAAAGCACTTACCCAACAATCCTCATTATATTATTGACATCTTTAAGCAGGAAACTTTTCCAAATTCACATCACCTAAAAAAATAAGACATGAGGAAACAAATTAGAGTCAAAGCAACACAGTTTGTTAATATAAAACTTATAATTATGATTATCATCAAAGCAAAGCGAAAATCTGTAATCTTAATTGAATCACAAGAATAGCACAACAGGGCGATCTTTACTATACAACGAATATCTAGATCTTTTACTAATTTAGAGCTAGAATGACCAAATTTAAAATAAAGATGAGCTTCTGATGAACTTCTTATTATATTCATCCTAGTATAACGCCCATTGTAGTGAGGCACATCGGCAAATCTTTAGCTCTTAGCAAATTTGACTTTTAGCTCGCCTTTGGAGTGAAGTAAGTAAATAAAACTTGCATTAAGTCAGTCAGTCGGGTAGGAGCTAATTTTTCGTTCGACAGAATACGCATTTCAAGGATTTAGCAAATTCCACCATCAAGGGTGAAATACGGGCGGAAAACTTTTGATTACAATTTCATTCTCATTCTCAATTTCAAGACATATGTGTATATATTCTTTGTAAAAAAGCAACCTTATAAAAATAAATTTCTTTCTGTTAAATTTAACTAATAGTTGAATGATTAGACATGCAGATAACATTTTTAGTGTTGCACAACGGCAATTGACAAACTCTTCGATATGCAAGAGCAGAGAGCATTTCTTCGTCGGCTTGTTAACAAAAGAAAATTGTTATCAGCGCGCTGCTATCGTTGGCAGTTGCTGTCACAGTTAACGCTAGCTGCTGTTGTTGCTGCCGACTGCGACGTCAGCTGCGCAGCTGTTGTTTTTTGGCTTTTGGCTGTTGCCGCTATTTTTTTTTTTTTTTTGTTATTTTTATTTTGTTGCTGTTTGTTTGTTTGTTTTGTCTTCTTGGCTGCTGTTGCTGTTGCTGTTAACTGTTGCGGCTGCTGCTTGGCTTTGTTGCGTGTGCCGCGCGTTTCGGGTGACAGTGACAAGAAAATTGCGCCGGTCGTGACTCGCTGGGAAAGCCAAAAACTGCTGCTGCTGCTGCCACTTGAACCTCTGCCACTTCTGCTGCCGTTGCTGCTGCTGTTGGCGTTGCGGCCCACCCGTTGTTGTTGCTGTTATGCAAAGCTTGGCACTTGGGTTAGGTCAGGGCGCTTACGGGTTCTGCACAGCGTCTAATAGAAAAGAAAAATTCAAAAAAAGAAGAAAAAAAACTCCCACCTTAAGAAAGCAGCAGCGGAAAAAACAAAAAATGTAGCTGGTAAAAGCGACTGATTTGTGGGCAAACGCTGGCCGTTTACATTGCTGATTTATCAATGGAAAGCAGCACCATTGTTTGGGCCATTTTCGCCGGCAATTTCGCCAGCCCAGCCGCCCAAAAAGGGTATTTAAATCCAATCGCATTAAGCGCAGCGCTGCGATTGCATAATGTGTCGGACTCGCATTGTCATTAGTCACGCCTGCCAGCTGTTCAGTGCTCCCAAGCCCAGTCGCTACCAATCTTTTTAAGCGTTTACGGGGCGAGAAAGAGAGCGGAGTGCACGACTAAGAAATAACCTATGCCCAGCAACGAGCTGAGTTTGTGTATGAGAAATGCATACTTGTATTACTTCGGTGCTTGTAGTCCGATATGTATTTTAGTTTTTAGGCCAAATGGATTTATAGCGTTCAAATGTGTGTAACTTGCCGGAGAGGGTAAAAAAAATATTCCCCATCGGTTCAGCGATTGTGTGATCTATATCTTTACTCCATATATTTAATAAAATTTAATAAGACCTACAATTATTATTGTGGTAATACCCATTTGTTCCCATTTGTTATTCCATAACAAATTTATTTACTCCTACTATGCCATACATTTTTGGCGCAAATGGAGGAAGTTATCCTAAAACTGAAATATTCAAGATCTGCAGGATATGCAAACGGGACATTGGAAGATCTAAGGTCCATCTAAAATCTCAGTTCAAAATTTCTCCAACTCTTTTCAGACCTGAGCTCCACTCGTTCAGACAGACGAACATGACTAGATCAACTGTATTGTTAATGAATACATGCTGTCGTCTGCCTGTTACATGCCGTGGCTCACAACCCATATGCCCTGTTTAACAATTTTCATTGAGTATATATATATAAAAAAAAAAATGTCAACGCTGCCAAGAGCTGCGACAATTAACGCTAATTCGACGTCGTCATCGTCTGCCACTGCCACTGCGCCTGCGCCAATTGCTAGACATTTGGAATTTCAAGGGGGCGGGGTGGTTGGATGAGAGGCGGCCGTGGTGCAATGCGCCCGTTTATGTAATGAGCATCGCTGGCGTTGTTGGCCATTGTCATGGCAATAGACGCGCCGCAAAGCCTGGTCGCTTATTGGATATTATTATTCATTATTCAGTATTCGTTATTCATGATTCATTACTGATAATATCAATTTTGAATGCGGCCGCCTTCGTTTCTCTTTCTTTGCCACTGTTATGGGGTCGTCATTAACGCTCGAACTTATCAATTGAACAGGTGAATTGAACAATTGCAGCTGCATATGGGTCAAGTGATGAACGCGTAACGCAAGTCGAGCCGATTAGCAGCACTTATTTTAAATGATGCCAGTCGCTTCTTTCTTCATAGTACTTATTTGTAAAACGGCCCGATGCAGTCGCTGGTAATCTTAATTAGGCGCTCTGATCAGCTGTCGCCTAAAGAAAATGTAATTGCGTTTAACTGTGCTGTCATACAATGTGTCAGAGTTGCATTTCAAATTTACAAGCAGGAATTGGGCATTGTATACTGACGGGTAACTGGCAGGTAAATTTTGTTCGAAATGCTCGCTAACTTTTGTCCACTGTTATTTTTAAATTTTTTGAATAAAAGTCAAATATTAAATTTAACTCTTTGCATAATATGGCTGCTGTCAGGAGGATAAGCTTATCATCAGGATAAAATGTTGATCGTTAGCAAATCAAATAGTAGCCGTTGTCTGTCTTGTGTTTATGATTTATATATGGTATTCAATCGAATCGAATCAGATCGAAATATCTATATATTAACAAGCGACTTTCTATTTAGGAAAGAGCGTAAGTATTTAAATTGGACTTTATTATTTATTTGCGGTTATTTTAATGATTCATACTTTTATGTTGTAATGAAATTGGGATCGTACTATAAGCTATATAAATATATATGTTCTTGATCAATAACAACATCTGAGTCTATGTAGTTATGATCGTCGCAGATGCTTATACGCAAACTAATCTCAAATATCTGATAACACTTTATACTTATTAAGCTTGTACTACAAATATATTTTATTGTGCCTACTTCTACTTAAAAATGAAAAAATCCCAAAAACTGGGATAAAATGTTAAACTAAAGTCAAGAGGTATGCTAGAACTTTATGTTGCTCCAAAAAAATTCTTTTATGACACTTAATTAAACACAAATAATTGAGCCACTCTTCTAACAGGTACCATATATTGTTATTATTAACAACTACCCAAATCACAGAAAAGGTAAAAACACAATTTAAGAAAGTAAGAAAAAAAACGTCGCATAATAATAAATGAAATAGCTACGAGTAGCTATGAGTACCCATGAATGCATTGTCCGCATAAATCCGTAAAAATTTGTAAACGTTTCCTCGAGCTGTGCAGATTACACCGCATAAATCAACATAGATATCCACACAAGCAGCCAAGTCCAAAATGGACCGTTGACTGTTACAGATCGGCAGGCAACTGGTTTGCTATGCCAGCACCTGTCCAGCAACTGACCCACGCTGGCAATAGAGGCACCTGGCCTTTAATATCAAAAAAAAACCTAACAAAACGAGCATTTGCCAGCACATAAATGCTCGACTAAGTGATATCGTGTAAAATTCAAGCCATACTCACATAATTCTCTGTGGTCGTGGAACACATACTTATAAAGCAAACACATTCCTTTGGAAGAATTTCCTAAAATGTTAGTGTGAATTTCCACACCACAAGGATAACTCGTTTGCTGAAAATATAAAAAAAAATAGTTCGAATGTATATCATTTTACTATAAATTTAAATAAAATCAAAGCAAAATAGAAATAAAGAAAACGTTTCGTTTCGGAGACATATGTTACTTAGAAATAAAATTGTTAAAATATCTATTCGACATTTTTAGAACATTTTTTTAAAGGAAAATTACATTTTTACCCACAATATAAATACGTTGAAACCGGAACAATAATGTATTTAAAAGAATGTGTTAATCCTCAGAATTAAAAGTAGCAAGTAAGAGGTTCTAGTCGGGAGCTCCCGACTAGGGGAGACCCTGAACGCTCTTCTTCCAACATCAAATGCATATATATATTCTATTTTAGAACCTATATGCCAAATTTGGTGACTCTAGCTCTTATTATTTACCAAAATTGCCCAAAAAACAGGATATCGATATCGATTTTAATCGATTGCTTGGAATCGGAGCAAGTTATCGATTATCGGAAACAAACTCGATCTGCGCGGGAACTAGGAGCATCTACATCTATAATTTCAAGTCTCTAGCTCTTATAGGTTCTGATCCTTGGACATGGCTAGATCGACTCGGCTATTGATGCTGATCAAGAATATATATACTTTATGGGGTCGGAGATACTTCTTTCTGCCTATTACATACATTTGGATTTTGCACAAATACAATACATCCTTATACCCATTTTTAATGGGTTCAATATTGTCTCTAGCTTTACGTGATTTCTAGTCTTTTTGTCTGGATGAAAAAAAGACTACAATTGGAGAGGTAGATTATATATTAAGTATGTACATAGTTACTGTAACTCTATTCCTTTTTTAACTATTAAAATAAAGGGGCTGATAACCCGAATTTTACAACCACGAAGTTAAAGATACGATATGAATGTAGTTCTTCAACTGAGATATAATCATTGAATGCTGTATTATGCCCCATTTGAGGCAGTTTTGTAGAGGGCATCAAATGTGGTTTGCAGACAGACTGGAGATGTGGCTTGGACTTGGACTTGGTCATTGGCAAGGTACGCATATGGATTCGTGACTTGCGCATGGATTAGAGTGACCATTTGGCGTGTTTATAACCAGTTCACCCGCAGCTCTGTGCGTGCGCTTCCGTTTTCCGGGCCAGGTCCAAAAAACTGGATGGCAGGCGACATAAAAATATAAAAATGAGCAATGCCTGCAATTGGAGCAACAATCGTGCAACAACCAGCAGAATGTCAACTTCAAGTCTTGTGTGGCTGCTCCTCCTGCTCTGCCATGGCATCGAAGGCCAGCAGCTGGTCTACGCGCGTGGCCAGCGTTCGCTTTATGGACCACCGTCGTTGGACTGGAACACCATCGGTAGCTTCAATCCCATCGGTCTGGGCCATATGACCAAGGATGAGCTGTTGACGCTACTGGAGGCCTGGCAAGATGCCGATGAAGACACCAAGCCGCCTGCACCGGAGCCAGCTGAGCATGCAGTACCAACGGCAGCGCCACCAGAGCGGCCACCAGCGCCACCACCACCACATCGTCCAGCGCCGCCTGCGCATCCGGCGCCACAGCCTCCACGTCCTGCTCCTGCACCAGCACCGACACCGGCACCCGGAGCACCAGTTACCGTGCGCCTGCCTGCCTTTGTGCCCATCCAGCTCTCGGCCATGTTCACGCCACCTGCGCAAGCTGGTGGTGCACAGGGAGCAGCTGCTCCCGTGGACACTGGAATTGCTTTCAACATTGACAACGGTGCGGGTGGCCTTGACATGGTTGCGCAATCCAATGATAGGGCCTCGCCACGCCTATTTCGCTTTATGCAGGTGCCCATGATTGCCGCCCAGCCGCGGGCACGTTCCCCCCAGCCGCCAGTGGTGCGCAATACCCTGGAAAGTGTTGACGCTGGCATTGCGCCACTTTCCAATCTTGTGCAGGCAAAGGCGCTCAGTGCAAGTGACAGGCCTAAGGATCTGCGTCAAGCGCCGCCAGTTAGACCCAGGTAAGCAACTTTTGTTTTTACTCATCTCTCGTGCTTATCGCAATGCACCTTCTTAGATTTGCGCTGCCACCCTTCCTAGCCAATGCGCCCGGCCCTCTGGAACTGGTGCCCTCCTCACAGATAATTGGCGAATGGCGCGAATAAACCAAACTCCTTGAAGCTTCCACTTTTTTTTTTTGTTATATATAGTCATAACGTACACACAATCAAAGCCTGATTCCAATATACGTAACGAACGTTAAAAAGCAAACGATTTACATTTTTAACAATTTTCCACTATTTTCACTTCTTGAAACGGTCCAATATTATTAATACGAGTGTAAAAGATTGACTCTTGTCTAAGTTTTATATATTTTATGAAAAACTCTTTGCTGTATGATACACTTATGTGTGCCTATATAGAAAAAATGACTAATTTATCATTTTTTTTTAATATTTTTTAAAATCAATTTGATTTAACAAAAATAATAAATTAATTAAGTAAAGATTAAAAATAAATCTTTCTTTTTTTGATTTTAAATAAGCCGCCCTTAATGGTATTTTCAAACACCGGCAATTTGGAGAATTTCGCCCCTCTGGTCACACTTTCGACAAACATATTAAATCCCAATAAGGTTATCATAGCCACGGTAGATAAAGAGTGTTGCAAAATAAACGTGAAAATACTAAAAAGTCAGTATATCTGTTAGGAAATGTTGTATTTTTTAATACCAAAATACGTAAACAGCTGATTTTTAACATCAACGAAAATGCGAAAACAAAATGATTTTTATTTGCACAAAATTTATATTTATATTAATTGCTGCGGAGCAAACGAAAAAAATCAATACAACGAATCATTTATGATGCAAAAACTCGTGGACGCTGTCATATATATTGAGAAAACAGGAACGTAGACGTAAGAGATGGTACTTATTTGCATCCTTTCAAACCCATTTCATAAACATTTCCTGTTTTCACATTTCATTCAATCTTGTTTAGACAGAGGCTTACAATAAACCAAAAATTAAACAATGATTGCTTGTTACTTGCTCGACTACGGAATACAACGGATTTCTGGCGTAAACGCAGTACGAATCCGAAAGAGATGGCATAATGAGACGCGTCCTACACCGATTAGAGGGAGTGCGGTTGTCAACAAATCTTATTGTGATGAAGGAGGACAGGAGCATGGGTCATAATGTGTAATTATAATTATAACTATAAATATGCCCAATTACAACAAGAGCAATTGCAGCAAACATGACGGAAACGACATCATGTGGAAACATTCCCGCAAAGGATCAATGGTTTTCACAGGAGCAAATGACGTTTAATCAACCCTACCAAAATCTCAAAGGTTATATATCGATATAACAAAAATGTAAGGGAATATCGAAGTTCGACCCGTTTACCCAGACGGACATGATGCTTCTGCCTGTAACATACATTTCCACTAACCAAACTTTATAATAGATGTATTAAATTGTACTTAAATCGAGTACGAATTGGAACCCACTTTCAAATTTGATAATACTTTATGTCTAAATTACTCCAATTTATTGGATCAAAGATACTTATTGGAATAAGATCGAACTCCTCGACTTAAGTGATTTAAATTTTAGTTTAAAATAAGAAGTTTTTTTTTTAGGTATTCTTATGTGTAAATAGTTATTGTACGCATCTAAGAAGTTATAAGATCAACTATAGTAGCCTGTGCAGTTGTACCTGCCTGTCTTTAAGGACCAACAATTGGAAAAAGACATATTCCTACTCGCCCAACGTCCAACCCTGATGCGAGTACGGATCAATAGAAACCCTCGTCCGAACTCTATATTAAGACAATAGACTAAAAATTGTTCTGTGGTTCCAAATGGAACTTGCTTAAATTGCTTTTTGCTTGATAGGGCTGCAGCATAATCAAATCCATTAAATATACTTGATCTTTGTATGCTATACGAGACATTGGAGGCTGTCCTAAAGAAAATGAACTAGAGAACGGGACGCGTGCCGATGCCAAGGGACATAGATGAATCAATTTTGTTGATATTACGATTCTGAATCAATAGCGACGGTAAACAAGGCGCAGGCACAGTTATATATAGTATGGGATATAGACTAAGTTTATAAGTTAAAGGATAATATATGCAGTATTGGTAGAGATCAGGTACTGCAGAACTGCCGCAAAGCAATGCTTGGTAGGCGCCTTACTGGTACGCAATTATAACAATAAGAGGTTCTAGTCGGGAGCTCTCGACTAGGGGATACCCTGAACCCTCTTCTTCCAACATCAACTGCATATATATATTCTATTTTATAAGCTATATGTCAAGTTTGGTGACTCTAGCTCTTATTATTTACCAAAATTGCCCGAAAAACAGGGTATCGATATCGATTTTAATCGATTGCTTGGAAACGGAGTAAGTTATCGATTATCGAAAACAAACTCGATCTGCGCGGCAACTAGGAGCATCTACATCTAAAATTTCAAGTCTCTAGCTCTTATAGGTTCTGAGATCCTTGCGTTCATACATAAGGACGGACGGACGGACAGACAGACGGACATGGCTAGATCGACTCGTCTATTGATGCTGATCAAGAAATATATACTTTATGGGGTCGGAGAAGCTTCCTTCTGCCTGTTACATACATTTGGATTTTGCACAAATACAATATACCCTTATACCCATTTTTAATGGGTTCAGGGTATAAAAATAATGACCACTCTTCAACTTACCAACGTGTATATGTATATATAGATATTTATATATATATCTATTTACTCCGACATCGGTTGCAGCGCTCAGCTCTAACATAACTGCTGCTGTCTCCAGCATGCTCAATGCCGAATTGTCCACCGTGTTGGGTCGTGGCATAGTTTCCTGCAGCGGTCGCCTGTTCGCTAAGAGTCCTTCACAGTCGAAGATGATGTGTGACTCGGAGTAATTGCCGTTCGCCCAGTTCCAGACTGCCATGTTTGAAATCAGTGTGTTCTTTCAACGGTCTATAGCTAGCGGCTGCTTCAGTAGCTGGACAATTCCTGCCACATCATAAATCAATAAATCACTAATGCAATGAATCGCGTCCATAGCCGGGAATAGCAAATCGTCAGCTCAACTTAGGAATGTAGAGTACCACAATCAGGCAGACGGTATCACTGTTGTTTGGATCCTAAGTGTTCAGGCTAATCCTGGATAACGCTCGGCAGGAAACTAGAGCCCAGCTGCGGTTGCACGATTTTTGTCAACCTTCAGCATCTTGCAGTGGACTACAAGGGCCATCTCATCTGCGATGCCAATAATGCTTTTGTCGATCAGAAATTTCATTACAGATCGGAAACTTTCAGAGGAGTGGTCCTAGAACTGAGACCCAGCGGGCGTCTGGTGGGCAAACGAGCCAACAGTGACAGTGAGAGAATCTACCTCTAAGATATGCGTCCTTTGTAAAGCCTGGTTCAGATATTCTTCTTTGGCACCATTCCCAGAATAGACGAGTTGTTTGCACCCTGTCAGGCACTTTGAGCCTAAGCCATCTAGGACTGTTCCCATCTGCTCCATGGTGCCTCTCAGGATTGTTTGTGCATCATTAATCTCTTGCACTGGCGACGGCCAGTTTGGCCATCATTTGCAACACTGATGTTGCCACTTGGCGCGGCATACATTGCTGAGGTGCAAAGGGGCACGCAAGGTCCTGCAGCTCATCCTCCATCATGACGTCATCTGCTTCAACTCCCAAGGAATGAATTTGTGCACGGCTCTATTATGTACATTTGTATGTAACACATAAACCATTTTAAGCGATTGAGTGAAGATATGCACAATTTTGTGTATATATGTACACACATACGTATGTATGTATGTTTGAATAACACATGTAGACACACAAATATACATACATACATACTCATACCGTTGAAACAAGCCAAAACCCGAATAGCGGCCAAAATCGGGTTGAAAATACGACTATAACCAAATAAATTGCGAGTTTTCGATAGCATATGTACATTAAATATGAAGGGAATTTGTTTTAATTATCAAAATATAATCGTTACTGATCAATTTGCAATATGCTACAACCCTTCTTTGCGCTTGACGGTTCAAATGCTTACTATCCTCTCTCTCTTCTCTTTAGGCTTGCCATGTTCGCTTTTGCCATCAGCGTCGCTGCCGCTGTTCAGCTGCATGCTTTGAGCATGGCTGACTCCTTAGCGATGTTAAACGGTTTTTTGATCGATCCGTTATTTGCGATTGCTATTAGTGGTGACATTTGCTACTCGTGGTGGGTGAATGACGACTATCGTCGCCTCCTCGTGAGAGAAATATATTTATTACTAAGAGATAAATTAAGTTATATAAGATCAGTTAGTTAAGCATGCTTAAACGAACGCAAAATCAATTAAAATAAAAAAAAAATTTACTTTTTTTTTTTTCAATAGTTGCACTCAGCGTAGCGTCACACTTTTTGTAATAACCCACTGTCCAATAAACATTCGCAAATTTCCTATAGTATATTTGCCAATCTTTAAAATGTATTACGTCAGAATATCTGGCAATGACGTGCCGAATGACGGACCTGTGCGTAACCATTTGATCCTCTGCGACACATGCATATGCATGTACATATGTATGTACATACATATTTATACATACATATGTATGTATGAATTTAAATACCAAAGCGAGTTGTTCCCCAACAATGCGAGAACGATTGCCAATGGAAGACGGGCAATAAAACAATTATTGCTATTCTCCATTTTCTTTCGCATGCTATTTGCTTTGACGTTAAGTTCCTCCACAGAGGACGAGCACGTTTGCAGAGAATCGCACAGATTACGCACTGGGCCGCAACGAGGCGCGTCAGCATCAGAGATTGAAACGTCACACTTCATAGGATTATTACATGGAAGCCTAATACAATGTAATTATAGATTAGGTACATATGTACATTTAAAAGAAACACATTTTAAAGAAAATTGTAAGCAAACGAAGTTTTTCAATTTTTATTACTTATTGTACAATCAGTGCGATTGTATAAGAAACTATCTACATATCTGTGACGTCATACGGAGAACAAAAAAATGCGTGAGTTCTGTTCAGTCTCAGTCTTTTTCTTCTTTCGCTCTCTGGCTGAAAACGCTCAAGCCTTGCTCAGCATGGCAGTCAATGATCTGCGCGTCAGGCGGCAACAACTAATAATGCGAACGCTTGCACATAACGGTTAAAATGTGAAAATATATGTATTAGTGGGTGTGCATTTTTATTTTTTATTTTTTTCTGTGCCAAAGTAAAACAAGGAAAATAAATCTGGTGCCAAAAAGTGTTAAGTGTAAAGTGTTATAGGGTGTAAAGCATAAATGTGAAAATAAATGAGTGTGTATTTTTTTTTTTCTTTTTTTGTGCCGTGCCAAAGTAATAGTGAAAAAAGAACAAGAAAAATTAATCAAAAAGTGGTAATAAGCTGTGAAGCATAATCCGCGAATGCAACAATAAAATTGGTCAAAAATGTGAGTATAAAGGAAACAAATTATTCGTTTTAAAATTATGTTTTGCTGTTGGTTTTTTTTTTTTACATTTTAAACTTAAATTATATTTTAATGTTAATTATTCTTCTTATATTTAAATATGGTCTCATTTTTCTGCTCGTTCGAAATGTGAAAAATATTGTGTGTTCATATTTACATTATGTATTTTTTTGTTTCTTCACATTGTGAGAATACCAAACCACAAAAAGAACGCGCAAAAAACAGTTATTACTGCATTTGTGTTTTTCTGCTTGCTTAGCTAGGCTTCCGCTTGAGCAAAGCGGAGAAGTAAAACATAACTGTATCTTAGCATACTTTTATTCTTTTGCGAGTGCTTCGCTTGATTTTGCATTTGCGCAAAGTGACCTTGGGATACAAAGAAACGTATGTAACGGTAAAAAATCGCAGGCAGAATTTGAATAAGGTTTTTGAATAAAGTTATAATCAATGGACTTAAGTTTTAAAGAGCTTTATACTATCTAAATGCAAAATAAGCTCGACACTTTGTAAACGATAAGAATATTATTTATTTTAACTCCTGTCAAACTCATTTCGGAATTTAAGTATGTATGACTTTGATTTAAGCTTTTGGAAAGCTATTGCAACTGTTGCGATACTAACAGTAAAAGCTACACGGAGCAGAAGCTTTTGCGGCACTGTTGCGTCTCTGTAGTGGGTAACGACTTGTAAACGGATGCTTGTCGACTCGAGTCCATCGTTGCGATTTCAAAATCATTCGTCAACAGACTCTCGTGCGATTCGGTTCAGGCTCAGTCTCAGTCTCTCCATCTCTCTCTGACAGGCAGCAGCTTAAGCATTGGCTCAGCATCAGTGACAGTCAATGATTTGAACGTCAGGGGACAAGAACAACTGTTACACGCGCGTACGCCTAACGGTTGAAATTTGAAAAAAAAAGTAAGAAAGGAAATAAGTGCTCGTGTGTGTTGATTGTTGTTCTTTTTTTTTTGCCGTGCCAAAGTAAAAGGTGTTTACATTTAACTCGGCAATTGTTAGCTG